TTCTTACGACTTTCGTCCTCTGTGCATTTGTTGTCAATGACAACATCTCTATTAGCGTCAGTAAGACTTGGGTAACCTGTCAGAAGTAAACACCAAACAAACAAAACAGCTCAACCGGCAGTTAAAGCCATGATCACACGAAACTGGATAGGTTTTCGTGTCTACACGAAAAGCTATCCGATATAGCGTGAACAGCAACGGCGCAGAACTGGAATTGTTCACACGCGAGCGGTTAGCGGAGAAGGTTTGGTTCTGTAAAAAATCCTAATCCTAGCTCATTCCTGAATCTTTGCTCAGTTTGCTTCCGTCTCGTCTCTGGGTTTCAGTCCTCTTTCTTACTTATTCACTTCCGCTACGGTCCGAGCTTCCGGCCTGTTCATCGCACCAAAGTGTGGCACAGAACCTATCCGATATGTGACCCTCCAGTCCCTAGGCGTTCTCTCTTGTCTCGGTGATGTCACAGCTCACGGTATAGTCCAGTATTGACCGTGCCGAGAAGACCTGGGGACTAGGCTGGTGACCCTCTACTTTCGAGTTCGGCGCGGCGTAGCTTTGCTCCGTTTGTGTACAGAAATCGCGCTGAAATAACAGTTCTTATGTCTGGACAGAAGCCCTATCTGGTGTGGCAGTGCAATCGGGTATAGTGTGAACATCGGCCTAAACAGCGACAATATGAGAGTTGATTCCCACTAAACTTTTTCTGTTCATTTTTAGTCTCTTTTTTTGTCTTTTGGTTGGCACAGCATTGAGACCGCTTCCCTGTTGCAATATACACATGAGCGCTTCTCACAGGCTGACAACAGGCAAAAATTCCCGTTAGACGCCTTATATATTATTGTATTTATAATTATTAGTTACTAGGTTATCACGCCGGTAAACCCATAGAAAGTGTGGTCTATTGCTTAGTTATCACAAAAGATAACGATTAAAGCGATTATCCTATCAAACATCAAAACAGCTCTGTCTTTGGATAGTAGATGCGTTTTTTGAGGAGTTTGATTGATGTGGAAGAAATCATGTCAGCTCGTTCAATAAACCCAACTCATAAGTGTTGCCCCTGATTACTATTATTACTATCCTAATCACCCAACGACTGTTTTCTGTAATAAGATGAGGTATATTTTATGGGTGGTGGCGCTGCTGAAGGCCTGTGACGTCACCAACAATTGTCGCCGTCTTCGCCGCCATCTTGGATTTTGCCAAGGATTAGAAATCAGGTTAAAACCGCGAGAAATGGTAATTTTTTATGCTTAACATGAAAAATAACACATAAATAATTACTTTGCATGATTTTAGCCAAAAGATTTACTTTTATTGCGGAAATAAGTTAAAAAACATGTATTTTCATCCAAAAATGGCTTGACCACCTGCTACTTATGACGTCATACCTCGTAACCATAGCATTTGACCATCACTAAACTTGTCTCAAGATGTGCGCGGGGGATGAAAGAACAGCTACTGAAAACATCAGGCGCTGATGTTTTATCCTCTAGGAAAAAAACACCAAAAAATTTTACGGGGGTTGAATTTTGCTTCCCAAGTTTGGCTTTTTTTTTCGTAGGAAAAACGGAACCTAAAATTTTCGAATTCAAAAATGTGATGGAGAGAGGAATTAGAAAATGTTTCAATTTCGTAATACCTCAAATTTCATCTAAAATTTTAGGGAAANCATAAGTGTTGCCCCTGATTACTATTATTACTATCCTAATCACCCAACGACTGTTTTCTGTAATAAGATGAGGTATATTTTATGGGTGGTGGCGCTGCTGAAGGCCTGTGACGTCACCAACAATTGTCGCCGTCTTCGCCGCCATCTTGGATTTTGCCAAGGATTAGAAATCAGGTTAAAACCGCGAGAAATGGTAATTTTTTATGCTTAACATGAAAAATAACACATAAATAATTACTTTGCATGATTTTAGCCAAAAGATTTACTTTTATTGCGGAAATAAGTTAAAAAACATGTATTTTCATCCAAAAATGGCTTGACCACCTGCTACTTATGACGTCATACCTCGTAACCATAGCATTTGACCATCACTAAACTTGTCTCAAGATGTGCGCGGGGGATGAAAGAACAGCTACTGAAAACATCAGGCGCTGATGTTTTATCCTCTAGGAAAAAAACACCAAAAAATTTTACGGGGGTTGAATTTTGCTTCCCAAGTTTGGCTTTTTTTTTCGTAGGAAAAACGGAACCTAAAATTTTCGAATTCAAAAATGTGATGGAGAGAGGAATTAGAAAATGTTTCAATTTCGTAATACCTCAAATTTCATCTAAAATTTTAGGGAAAATAATACCTCAAGCCCTTTTTTCGAAAAGACTCAAGTTCCCCTAGGATGATCGAACAGATACAAATTTTACATCGCCGCTTATGCTTTTTTAGAGTACTATGGGGAGCCTAAATCTTGTTTTTAATGTATTTAGGAGGAAACCATCGTTGGGTACCCCTGTGTAATTGAACAGAAGTTCTTTAATTTCTTTTTAGCTAAAAAAACAAGCCGTCAGGATCACTTCAATCACTAACTTATAGACGCATATTGCTGTTTGCCTAAAGAACTTTATTCCCACTCTGTTCTTCGTCCAATTATTTAACCTTAGCGCTATAGGCAGTAGGCCAGCTGCGTTGCTATCAACAATATGTTTTGTGATGTTAATCTGTTAATCACCAAAGTAAAATGCAAATGCATCCTTCTTTCTTGCTTTCTTATATATATATTTTCTAAAGCATTAGTTTAATTTATTTGCTTATTCCTCACTATCGCTGGACGTAGTTTAATGCAACTGTGTAATAATGTTTCCAGGTTTTTTTTTTACCAGGTGTTAATTAAACGAAAAATATAATCTTCACTCGACCTTGAGTAAATAACCCTTAAGACTGAAAAGCAACCCAGAACTGATAAACTGGAAAAGAGACTCGAAAGATTTCCTGCAACCACTAATGACACTGCATAACATTGGCGATCAGTACCAGTAATGAATCTGCATGCGCAGTTTAAAACCTATGAACGTGAAAATAAATCTTAAAATGCTAGCTGGGTGATACGAGACCTTTGAAAGCTGTAGCTTTAAAAGATCTAAAAGTAAACTCGAAACTCTTGTTTAAGAACAGGTTGGAAATAAATACCGCTGTTTATAATTTTGACCAGGGTAGATGCAACTTGTGTATATGCGGATGAGTTGAAGTAATGGACAAGCGGCTGCATTGTGATTAGTCTAGTATTCAGCAAAATATACACTTTCAAAAAAATAAACGAGAACGAATTGAAAAAAATCAAGTAATATAAATATGTAATATAAATAAACAAAACGAAAACGGCCTTACTGAGTTCAACGTGTTAGGCTTTTGCAGGAGAACTTCATCGTGTTAAAAAAGTGAAGTTTTCTTGCCCTTTAAGTGCAAGTGCTACAGTACACACCCAAATTGTAACTAAGTTGTAATCACCATCGAAAATCATTTTCGTACAGTAAGAAACTAAACTAAGACAGTAGATTTGTTTTCACGGATAAATAGTACACTAAAATCAGTCGACTTGACTAACATTCTAAAGTTTGGCGACGCATTTCTGGAAATGAATTTCGAAGAAAATAATTACAACCTCCAATTTATCCTGAAGAAGGATTTCGTCGTTTATGCAAATTAAAAATTAATTTACCTGAAAACAACACGCAAGCAACTGACACCAATATGATAACTGTTTTCCCCATTTCTTCAGATCTTCGTTAACCTTTACAGTTATCGGTCCGATCTTAGGCAAAGTTATGTCTGAAATAACCAAACTGAAAACCAAACGCACCCGATAAAAACGATCGTCGAATTAATCGAAGTCAATCCTAGAACAGCAAAGTTATATCCCGCTATTATAGTGCTTTTAGCCAATGATGACGACGGACATTTATAGAACTAAGTACGCTTTTGTTTGTACTGTCCTCTAGAAGATAATGAACCCAATGGGAGGCCTGCTAAAAGGCATGGGAACTTGTGTAAATCTGTAAATGTATCATGCAAACGGCTACCCTGCGTAGCAGGCGTTTTTTTGGTGTGTTTTCCATTGGCGTTTCGTAAAGCAAGAGGTTAAACGAGAAACTAAAAAGGAGGGGGCAGAAGAAAGAGAGCAGAGTCGAGTGAGAAGTCTGTATTCCTTCCCTCTCCTCCCCTCCCCCCTCCATATAGACTGGAAACAAAAATATATGTTTAAACTGTTTACGCAGTCCGTATACCCGTGAAAGTTGAAAATCATGGATCAAAGTTTCTTCTTCATTTGTTTATCTGACTGAAATATTACTTTTTGTGGTTTGAAATAATTTGGGGACTTTTTCATTTTTTTTATGCCCGTTCAGAAGCCAACAGCATCTCAACAGAGACAAATAAATTGGCCTTTCTTAAAATTTGAATAACACTTAAGCTATGCTCAGGCCATGCTGCGGCACTTGGTTTTGAACAGCATTTTTTTGGTTCGATAATCCACAGTCCACGTCCGGTCAAAAAGTCGATTGCCCGTCACATGATCAGTTCCCAATCTTTCTCGTCTCGTAGCAACCGGTCCTTGATTCTTATGCAAAAAAGATCGACAGTCTGATAATTTTGTTTTTAGACACATCGAATGATATATAAGCTTAATTAATCGAATTCGAGGTCAATGGAACTCCATCTTTCCTGATACACTTTCATTACTTTGTCGACTTTCCTTGGCCTCATTGGTAAAAGTTTTCAGGTAAGTAATTACGACTCACGTTTTGTCTTAGGTGAAATTCCATCACTTAAAAACTCATTCCTCATTTGTTTGTTCACAGAAAATGGACTTCGTGAACGCAAGAACTACAATGACACATTAAACTCCCTGGAAGCTTCGTTTAAGTTTGCTTTATACAGATTTGCGAAAAAAGTATGAAGCAAAAACAGTCCTAGAGAATAAGCACATCATTTGCGTGACACGTGCATAGACATGAAATCGTTCTGAACGTAAGCTTATTTGGAATTTAACTCAGTGTAGCATGTTGTAAACCTCCGTCAAAGCCTCTTATAAGTGCTTGAGACCAAAATTTTACATTTACGACTCCAAGTGTGGAAGATTTTGGATTGCGGATTGACCTTTTTTGACAAAACGCTCTCTTCGCGCGCGCAAATTCAAATCTCATCGTACGGCGATGTCATGTCACGCAGAATCACCAAATTCTTATAATCTGTGTTGAAGTCTGGCTTGGATAGCGATTCGAGAACCATGGGAGACAAGTCTAATATACTAGATTCTAAGGACTCACAGATTGAATTTTCTGAATTCGATCGAAAGAGGATAGAATCTGTTGGCGAAGATACCGAATATGGGGATGAAACACAGAGCCTACTGGCCATGGAAGAAAGAAGCAGCTATTCGCAAATTCCCTTTGGTTTTCAGAGTAGAGGGTCATATAAACACGCTTCAAAGAACTGCGAGATTGTTGGAGGTACTAAAAACTCTCTAATATTCTCTAATTTTAATGACATGTTTGCCTCACCTACCCTTGTATCGAGGGTGATCATCTCCTTCCTTGCCCCCTGTGTGTTTCCCTTCCCTGCCCACCCGTCCCCTCCCATCCCACTAGTGAGTAGGATCAATGATCTTTTACAAAGAGTAGCAAAAACTTGGAGTATTATTCTGTACGTCCTGATTATGAATTCATTTGATCTTACATATGTTGTCAGTGGCCGGTCTACTGTGCATGCATATTTATGTACAAGTTGACCATTTCATTTGTTCATGCTTTTTATAATTTTTCTAGTGACGCACAATTCCCGGTTTAGACAATTTGTCTTTCTTGATTCACGAGGTATTACAAGTTGGTCATATGAAAGTGTCTACAATACAGGTACACCTTTATAATTAATAGCAACAACTCTTCAGTTTTTTGTCATATTAAAAGGTACTTGTAAATGTAACTGTTATACACAAACTGTACCATCATGCCTTTGCTTGATGGATTTGTACATTGCTAAAAGGGAAAGATTAGAAAACTTTCCAAAGATAATACTGGGAAAAGTCTGCAGTTATTGCTCTGTGTGGTTCCTGTAAATATAGCATGTGACAGTAGCTCAAATAACATTTCAGAGGCCTTTCAGGGGGGGGGGGAGGGGGGGACTGTATGCTGTCACTTCCTTGGTCATACAATGTATCTTGAACTGCCTGTTGCCTTCCAGTAGATTTGGAAAAAATGCCACTGTCACATTTTTGAAAATGTCCCTCCTGGATCAGCATAATTGGTACACATGTTATACCTGGAAAAAAATAATTTTTATTAACCTTTCTCCCTCAACGGACCATTCTTGAACAATCCCATGATTAGAACGTGTGTGAAAGAAAATAACGGAAATTAAATTCTGGTTAAAATTTTTTCCCAACCTACTAGGTTGATTCTCTATTTTCTTTGTCTTCTACACCCTAAATTAATTCATCATGAATAGTTAGGGCCAGCTAGGAGACATTACAGAAATTGAGAATCAACCTAGGTTAAAAAAAATTTAACCTGAATTTAATTATTTTGACCTGTAACAACTATAAAAATTAACCTAAGGGAAATTGATATGCTGGTCAGTATGATAGCAAGTGTAGCTGGGCTTAATACTAGAAACAGTGTTCTGCTCATAGTGTGTCGTTATTTACATATAGTACTAATAAAAAAAATAATATATAAGCTGATTATTTATTCATTTTTAAATTAAATTTGCTTAAATTTCTAGTTACAAGGCATCTCAACTATCCATCTTACCAGTTTAATGTCCTGCGACTGATCATATTCTCAAGAAAATTTAATGTGTATTTTGCCTTGTCAAAAGAGTATGCACTGAAGGTGAGTTATTATGTTCAAGACAAAATTAATGTTACATAATATGGTAAATTTTGTGCACCTGACAGCAATGTGAAATGACTTTCCAGAAAAAATAGCATACCTCCATGGAAAGTGTTTGGGTTCTAATCAACTCTATTATCATTTATGCCTTTAACTCCTCGTCTATTGAAGTTGTAAGTTATGATAAATTGTTTTTCACTCTTACTTTTAACCCTTTAAGTTCCAATAGTGACCAACAACAATTTCCTCCTAACGACACCCTTACATTGTCAAGAGATGAAGTTATGAGAATTAATAAAATGATCACCAAAGAGACAATGCCATGATCTTTTATCAAATTCTCTTAACCAATTATTAAAAGAAATGTATGGAGACCAGTTTGGAGAATTTGTATGTGGATATTGGGGCTTAAAGGGTTAAATCAATGACAAGATCCAGGTATGTGGTTACCGTGCAAATAAAACCTCTTTAGCAGTATTTTCATGTAGTCGAGTCTAACTTTTGAGTCTGTTTGTGTTTGAAAATGGATAGTGACAGGAACTGACCAGTGTATATTATTTTTTTAGGTTTTCAACCTGAATTTTCATGAAGTCTTTTCAGTGTCAGCAGAGATGCATTCTGTATTATGCATGGTGTTTAATCACAGTAGAGATGAGCTCATTACTGGAGGAACTGGGGGCATGAAGGTAACTGACAAGGCATACATACATATCAGTAGCAAAACAGTCCAGAAGAAAAAAAGTGTCTTTATAAGTATAAATGTTGCTGAAGTTCTCTGATCATGATCTAGAAGGGCCAAAATGCTTTCAGGTAATTACGTGCACCTTGCCTGCTACATTGTAGCTCTGTTGTTGTTGTTTTTTCTTGTTTACTTTTTTTGCAATCCATACATGAGTGGAATGCATTTTTTAATTTTCTATAAATTTATAGTTCTGGACATTTGGAGAGATTGAAAAAGACAGGCAAAAAGCTTGGGAGAGAGATTCCAGACCAATGGCCAACTATGGTTTGGTGTTAAGGTAATGATATGAAATGTTTTAGATCTTAATCCAAATCGCCCCATCAAATAGAAACATATTCACTTGCCATGGATTGTAAGAAGGCCTTTAAATGCAATATCTGACAGAAGTAAAAGTGAAACTTAATTTGCTTTGCGAGTTTTGAGAGCAGAATTAATAGCAACTATTTAAAACAATACAAAGGTTGACCCTCTCACAATTTATAAGAGTAGAACATTTTGAGTCACGTTATACTTTCATGCTATATTTTGGGGGTAGAGGGGGTGCATTTTGGAATAGGAAATGTACCATTTGAAAATAAGTCTAACTGGCCTATTTTTATTCATATTGATAGAAGTCACTATACAGCCCCAGTTTAAAAATGTGCAGCCGCACGGCAGCCCAATTAGCCCCTACTGTCTGTGGCGATCTTGTTCTTGAAAAAAACCATATCCTCCCTCACCTATAAATTTTGTCTCTTTGTCTAAATGCAATCGCAACTACAAATAGAAAATTACACAAGTCAAAGGATAAGTTTCCTTTTTTCCATTATTTTGATTGGCCAGAAATGAGACTTGACCAGGCAAAAATTTCTTTGGTTGGTCATCATGACAACCCACTGTCCGAGAATAATTTTGAGCCAAGCTGTATTAAAAGCTTAGTATAATTTGGTACTACAATGTACACATGTGAATCATTGGTTATGACTTAAATAACAAAGTTTCTCCTTGCACTCACAGGGCATCATATCCAGACATGGGGGGAAGCTGGGTGAAGCAGGTAGAGCTGGATGAAGCAATGCAGGTAACAACAATAATATCCTGATAATGCCAACTCTCCCGGATACGGCACTGATCCTCCTGAATAAAAACGACTTTTGAGTATTTCTGTGCTTTAATACGAACTTTCGCCCTTTTTTCCCCAAAACAATACAGTTTCCGGAGCATAATTGCATGTTATAGTCACTTACAAAGACTATTTCGTCATTACTATGATGAATGCAAACTTTGATGGTATATAATTCTTGTAAGATTTCATATAATTTGTCCTAAGCCATTTCATGACTGTCATAATTTTGGGGCTGGGTCAATTTGTAGGGTGGGGTACGTGGGGTATTGATGACATGTGGTGGGGGTAGTCCAAAGATAGAGTCTCCAGATTTTAGTTCTCCAGAGGTAATTGGCATCTCTGCAATATTAATATTCTAAACCAGGTGGAATAATGATCATCTGGGCGAGTGTTGTGCTGAAAGGAATTGTTATACATGTACATTGTATGTTATGATCTCTTGGATGACAGAGTCATTCACTGTAAACAACAACAGTCCTTAATTACAGGACTACACTGATACCGATGATCATATGGATCAGTTTACCACCTACCCCTCCCCTAAGCCAACATTATATTTTGCCCTAAGTGAGAAGTAGGTGATAATGTTGGCTTAGGGGAGGGGTAGGTGGGCAGTTTCCCAGAAACCTAAATTTTTCGGATCATATTTCTCCTACTTACATTTACATTTACAGCAACATGTGTGAAATAACTCCTTCATTCAAACCATTATATTTTCTTCCTGCTTTCGTCCCTACAGTCATATGATTTCCTTTACATTAACTTTATTTATTTATTTCTTTGCAGCGTCTGTACTGTTTATCTGAACGGAATGTTGTAGCTTATGACATGGTGGGAAATCATCTCTTCCAGATAGTGGAGTAAGACTTTTGACAGCTTTTTTAACCCTTTAAATCCCAAAAGTGACCAAAGTCAATGTTCTCCCAACAAAATCAATACATAATCAAGGGAAAATGTTGTGAGAATTAACAAAATAATCACCTGGCCCCAGTTGTTCAAAAGGTGGATAATACTATCCACCTGGCCCCAGTTGTTCAAACATTGGATAGCGCTATCCAACGTTTGAACAACTGATTAAAAATGTGCAGCCGCACGGCAGCCCAATTAGCCCCTACTGTCTGTGGCGATCTTGTTCTTGAAAAAAACCATATCCTCCCTCACCTATAAATTTTGTCTCTTTGTCTAAATGCAATCACAACCACAAATAGAAAATTACACAAGTCAAAGGATAAGTTTCCTTTTTTCTATTATTTTGATGGGCCAGATCGGAAATGAGACTTGACCAGGCAAAAATTTCTTTGGTTGGTCATCATGACAACCCACTGTCCGAGAATAATTTTGAGCCAAGCTGTATAATTTAAAAGCTTAGTATAATTTGGTACTACAATGTACACATGTGAATCATTGGTTATGACTTAAATAACAAAGTGTCTCCTTGCACTCACAGGGCATCATATCCAGACATGGGGGGAAGCTGGGTGAAGCAGGTAGAGCTAGATGAAGCAATGCAGGTAACAACAATAATATCCTCATAATGCCAACTATCCCGGATACGGCACTGATCCTCCTGAATAAAATCGACTTTTGAGTATTTCTGTGCTTTAGTAAGAAATTTAGCCAATTCTTTTCCAAATCAGAACGGTCTCTGGGGTATTTTTGCACATTAGCCAGTTACAAGGACTATGTCGTCACTACCATGATTTATGCAATTTTTGATGGTATGTAATTCATGTAAGATTTCATATCATGTCCTAAACCATTTTCATGACTGTCATAATTATGGGGCTGGGTCAATTTGTAGGGTGGGGTGGGGTATTGATGACATATGGTGGGGGTAGTCCAAAGATAGAATCTCCAGATTTTAGTTCTCCAGAGGTAATTGGCATCTCTGCAATATTAATATTCTAAACCAGGTGGAATAATGATCATTTGGGCGAGTGTTGTGCTGAAAGGAATTGTTATACATGTACACTGCATGTTATGATCTCTTGGATGACAGAGTCATTCACTGTAAACAACAACAGTCCTTAATTACAGGACTACACTGATACCGAAGATCATATGGATCAGTTTACCACCTACCCCTCCCTTAAGCCAACATTTTGCCCTAAGTGAGAAGTAAGTGATGAAGTTGGCTTAGGGGAGGGGTAGGTGGGCAGTTTCTGAGAAACCTAAATTGATCCGACCATATTTCTCCTACTTACATTTACATGTACAGCTACATGTATGAAATAACTCCTGCATTCAAACCATCATATTTTCTTCCTGCTTTCATTCCTAAAGTCATATGATTTTCCTTTACATTTATATATTTATTTCTTTGCAGCGTCTGTACTGTTTATCTGAACGGAATGTGGTAGCTTATGACATGGTGGGAAATCATCTCTTCCAGATAGTGGAGTAAGATTTTTGACAGCTTTTTTTAACCCTTTAAACCCCAAGAGTGATCAAAGTCAATTTTCTCCCAACAAAATCAGTACATTATCAAGGGAAAATGCTGTGAGAATTAACAAAATAATCATCTGGCCCCAGTTGTTCAAAAAATGGATAACACTATCCACTGGATAAATCACTATATCCAGTGGATAGTGCAATTGGTTTCCCTAATACTTATCCACTTGATAGTGATTTATCCAATGGATAGTGCTATCCAACGTTTGAACAACCCAGGCCTGATGGGAAAAGCTTTGATATACAAACAAATTCTCTTAACCAATTCTTCAAGGAAATGTATGGAGAATTTGTCTTTGGATATTGGGGTTAAAGGGGTTAAACTTGTGTAGCAAAATTCTATGTTGAGCTTAAAAGACAATTTTCTGTGTTCACTTTCAAATTGTTCCTCAGTTCAGTGAGTAGAACTGAGTTTGCATTTGTATTCAAAATCATCAGATCATGAGCATCCGGTCCTTATTCTTCTACTGAAGTTTCAGTTTTTCTTATTTACATATACTGTGTAGGAATCCCGAGAAATGTGTGGGGGAGCACCTTTCAGAGCCCCTAGCCCATTATAGTCTATTTTGTGGCGAATTCATAGACCCCATCTTAGTCACTTTTGGGCAATATGTAGTTTTCGTGATCCCAACTTAGTCACTTTCTATTTATGTACCTACCTTATAATGAATGAAGAACAGTTTACTCTTCACAGGTCTACAGTACAAACATTCTGGTACGTTTGCCAACCGTAAATATGAAGAACTGTCTTACCCCCAAAATCCGAAAATGTGCGACCCCATTCTAGTAACTCTATTGAAAATGCGACCCCATCCAGTGACACATCCCCGTTAGCCTCTTGCCTCTTATAAGGAAGTAACCCCCCTCCCCCCGGGAGCACGGAGTTGTGCCACAGGCCTTTAAACCCTGATCTTGTTGAAGGCAAAAATTTTCCATTTTGCTTCCCTGTTTAAGACAAGAGATCTTATGTTCCTGATTCGATTCTTTTTGCGTACAGAATAAAGTAATTTTTCAAATTCACATGAAGAATTAGATGTTTTTGAAAACAGAAAAAAAAAACGTTCGAGACTCATTAAGACCCCGAAAACCATACCACCAAACTATACCAAATTAGGGTGTGCCCCCCAGGAGGGGGGGGAGGGATAGAGATGTAAGAATCAAGGAATCATGTGACTCAGCATTAATTTTACCTTATGTTTAACTTTCTAGTGCCCACAGAGGACCTGTAACTGGCTGTGTTTACTCTAAAGCCTGTAATTTTCTTGTAACTGTGGGGACTGATTGTGACGGTAAGAAAACAAAAGTTTTCGTGTTTCAACAGTTGAACTTCTTAATGTAATATAGCCGAGGCGCACAGTGGGAACTTTAAAGGATAGTCTGGGACCAGGCTGCTTATCAAAGAAAAAGGACGAATAACGAGGCAGGCGCGCGCAAAAAAAAGGCGAACCGAGCAGGGGATTAGGGAGGAAAAGAGGAGCCCCATTCCCCTTGCCACGGAGTACCTCGCTCGGCTTGCTTCAATCATCGATCTTTTTGTGCCCGGTCAAAAACATTCCGTCCAGTAGTCAGGGACAGGTAGATTTTCTGGCTAGACAAGTAACATGGAGAAGTTACTTGCGCAATGGGAAACCTTGGCTCAAGACAAGTCATCCTCTAACAAAATCATAAACTGGGACAAGCGAGAGGTTGCTAATGGTAAGCAAAAAGGAAAAGCTTGAATTCAAGATTTTTTGAGCCCTCCCTGTTAATCACCTTTTTTCCCTCTCCAAGGAACCTTTTCCCAGCCTTATTAAGCCCTCTGACCCGCCACATAAACGCGTATTTCGGGAAGCGCTAAACGCGTTTCCTTCACTCGCTTATCTCTGTCCTGAACAGTCTTGTCTCATCATGCTATAATTGGAGCACAAGAAAAAGAGTTGTTATCCTGCGTTTCTTGTCATGTTGGGCTTCCTTTTTAGATGACTTGTACATGTAGCGCTCAGCAATACTCTTTTTTGTTCACTTTACCCTACCAGCTATAGCCTCCCTCGCAGCAGTTTTTGTCTCGTCACGCAACGCACCTCCCTTGCGTTGCGTGACGAGACAAAAACGGCTGCGAGGGGTTCTTCGACGGAGACTATTCCAGTTTATACAGTAGCTGATTTAATATATTATGGTAATTTTCAGTGAATGTTTGGAGCAGATCAAAAAGTGGCGGGAAGGTGCATACATTTACTGGCCATTCGAAAGTAAGGATTTTTTATTTTTATTTTTGTTAGAATAATACTTTACGTTTGTCAAGTCTGATTATAAACCTTAAAAGAGCTGTGTCCCGGCTGTCTTGTTCATTTGTTAACATAATGCCAATTTTAACGCTTCGTTATACGCTACAGCCTCCCACGTAGACGTTCTTAGGAGTTCGTCACGCGTTTCTGCCCCAGGAGCGCGTGACGAACTAGGCTATATACGCTATGAACTTAATGTTTACAAAGAAATTACTGAACACGACAAAATCACAGCTTCTTGTCCAACAAATGAACTTCTCAAGCATAACATCAGACGTTACAAACACCTAAAACCAACTTTGAAAAAACTGTTTGGCTAACAAACTTTCAAAACTCATAACTTCAATCCGGCCGTTTTGTTCTTCTTCAAGTTTGTCCATCTGTGCCTACTTTTTTATGTGCTGTGATGTTTATACCTTCTTTTAAAGTTTTGAGAGATTATTTCTATATTTCACTCAAATTGGTAGCAGTTCCTGTTGTTCGAATTTTTATAAAATTCGTGACACAGCTCCTGTACCTGTAAGTCCCTCCGTAGTTCAGAGCGGGATAGTGCGCCCGAACTGTACAACCCTGAAAATCGTTGCCGGCGGGAATCCCGCGGGTGTACGACCCACTCACACTTTTTTCTTTGCTCATTTTTGTTTTCTGTTCTTCAAACCAGGCAATAACAAAAATAATGCTCCACCCAGAAAATTCAGCCTTGGTGATAACAGCTGCTATGGATGGAATAGTGAAAGTGAATTCATTGGACTTCATGGAGGAAATATACAGGTAAACAAAACAGCAGCGACAACAACAACAAACATACGAGAGCCCAGGCGCGTTGCTGTTCACTTTTTAAAAAGTCTTTTCTTGATGGTCGACAAAACCATAGCGGTTATTGTTCAGGTGTGAATGAGTTTTCCTCAAGTCTGTACAGTCTAATAGTCAATAGTTAGCGGGGCAACCAAATTTATGCATTGAATGCTTTTCAACTGTCGCTGTCATTGCTGTTACAGTTGTCGTCCCAAACGGATCTTATTTCCTTTCTCTTTTTGAAACTGCAAAAGAATTCAACTCCAGGAAAAATCGCCTACATTTGACAAATTTAGCGGCTTCGAATAGACGCGATAAAGTTTGAAAGGACGCAAATTGATTTTTTTTAGCGACGTTTTCACTACCGTCGTCGTCATCGTTGCCTACATTTGCAGAGGATATTGACATGCCATAAACCTTATGTTTCAGCCTGCCCGTGTTTCCAGAGGGTATTTACTGGATGCACGTCGTCTCGTCAAAGCTTATTTACTGCTGTTCCAATCGTGTAATTGAGGTTTTCTCTCTCAATCATGTCTGCGATTTCTGGGCTTTGTCACGCTGTTCGGTGACTTCACTGTCCTTAGAAACATGCAGAGGAAAATCCACGCGTGTTATGGCGGTGGGAAATGATAGCAGGTAAAGTCATTTAGGACACCGTAGAATTCCGAAAATAAGCCCCGGGGCTTATATTTTTCAAAGGCCCTTTTTGAGGGGCTTATTTTTGGACGGGCTTATCTACGGAGGGAAATTTGCGTTTCAAAATCGATTGGGCTAGCTTTATAGTTGGAAGTAAATTTACCGTTTTTGCTTTGTTTTACTTTGTATTTGAGGGCAATTTTCCAAGTGCAAGCCCCCGGGGGGCTTATATTTAAGGGGCGATTTAACGGAGGGTTTTTTGCGTTACCGTTTTGGGGGGCTTATATTTTGAGGGGCCTATACATGGAGGGGTTTATTTTCGGAATTTTACGGCATGTTCACACTATACTGGACAGCAATTGCGCGTGCGCGAAAACCACACCGGATGGGGTTTCTGTTCACACACAAGAACGGTGATTTCTGCGGTAAAGGAGCGAAGCTGTTCCACACCGATCTCGAAGGTGGAGCATCACCTATCAGCTATAGGGTCTGTGCGAGGACTGCAATCCACTTAGATGGAATTAAATATTCAGGGCTGAGGACTGGGATTTACCTCACCGAACCCTCTCGGCCAACCGCTCCTGCCTCATTTTCGATGTGTGTGAACGACTTGTTCCAGTTCTGTGCCGTTGCTGTTCATACTATACCGTGTTCACACTATACCACGTTCACACCATACCGTGTTCACACTATACCGTGTTCACTCTATACCGTGTTCACACCATACCGTGTTCACTCTATACCGTGTTCACACTATACGGTGTTCACTCTATACTGTGTTCACACCATACCGTGTTCACTCTATACCTTGTTCACACCATACCGTGTTCACACTATACCGTGTTCACACTATACCGTGTTGGCAGGGAAAGCTATCCGGAAAAGTGTGAGCATAGCGTTAGTCTGTGTAACTTGCGGTATTGTTGGGGAGGGGTAACGCAGGGAAGCGCGACTTAATTGCGCGCTCGCCCGAAAAAATCACCAGCTACGCCGGCTAAAATTGATGGTAAGCCCATATTTGTGCAACAGTACGCTTCTCAATATTGCTGGCTCCAACCCCCTGGAGCGTTTGGCAATGCTTGAAAGTCATCAAAACGAGAGCCAATCAACGTCCTTTTCTTCTTTGCGATTGATGTAACATTTGGATCGCTTTTTAGCTGATGTCGTAGCCAACAACTGTTTTATACGTTTTTCTTTTTCGTTTAGTGTTCGCTTGATCTCCCGGAAGCGCCAGAATCTCTCCACAGTCCTCCCCCCGCCACCCATTTCGCCTCTAAATATGGTGAAAGATGTGGCATACAGCAGGGAGTTTAACATGATGTACTTGCTGATTGATGAGCAGGAGATCTGGGTCTATTATACCAGGTACTGTACAGTTAGTTACGGGAATGCCCCAGTAAGAAGAGGTTAAAGGGCGAATGGTTGGGAGCTTAAGCAAAGACGTTTTGAGCGACGCATGTCAGCCAGGAGATACAGCCCTTTACAATAAACCCTTTCCTAGCCTGCGAAAACATCCGTTTCTCCTCGTTTTTGGCCACTGGGGACGTTTCGTGCGGAGGAGGTTCCTCCTAGCGAAACGTCCCCAGCGACGAAGAGCGAGGAGAAAAACGGATGTTTTCGCAGGCTAGCCTTTTCCGGGTTTCCCCAAGCCTCTGTTCCAAACCGAGGCTAAGTGCGACGCCATCATGAAAGTGATTTTTTATTCTCATGCAGATAAAGCTCACTTTCCCAAGAGAGGATTTGCACTTAGACTCGTTTTATAAGTTTAAGCTTTTTTATAACTTGGAAATGACCTATTCAATCCCAGCACGATTCGACAACGTTCGATAAGCTGAACGCGGTGGAATAATGATGATAAACTTTGAAAGAGCGCGGATTTTCTTTTAAAGTAGCGTTGTCGCTGCCTTCACGGTCGTTGTTGTTTAAGCTCCCTAACCTCCCTAATATTCGAGTCACAGAGTCCGAAAAGTTCGACGTCACCAATATTTGTTGAGATGCTTAGAAAGAAAGGAACCAAATATGCTTTCTTGCAAAAATTCAGCATGTAAAGGCAAGTTGGCTCTGAGAAGTTAGCACCGTAACTTTTGTTGTCCTAAGGGCTCATGATGATGATCTATTTTGTTTATTTAATTTTTTGGCAGGACTAATCCAGCTACTCGCGTAGAATCCTGGAAACTAGATTTCATTGAAGATATCCATAGCCATCACTCCCAGGATGCAACGTCAAAATCCCGAGCAAGCAGTCCATGGCTAAGCGAGGGACACAGGTATCGTCCGTATGCCAATTAATATCAGTGTCTTTCCCCTCCTTTTCACCGGAACCAGGAAGTACAAATGTCAGTAGTAGCTGTGTTTGTTTTTCTTCTTTTATTTCAGACTAGACTAGTAAAGGGAAGATTTTTCATTAGCTTTGAGTGACCTTTTCTCCTGTTAGCAATAAGCATAGTCTTCTTTTCCGCTGATTTAGACGCATTTTTATCCGCTCTCCAGACAATTAATGGTTATTTTCCGTGAAGATTTTAGAACAGTTTACACGGAAATATTTATCGTGGTGATCTGTCAACCCGACATAACGGTCAGTTTTTACTGTACCTGCAACATTTAAAATCTACCCGATTTCAAAGATTTCTCGTGAAGCAACTTTCTTTGAAAATCGGGCCGGTTTTTCTTTTTTTGTTCNTACTCGCGTAGAATCCTGGAAACTAGATTTCATTGAAGATATCCATAGCCATCACTCCCAGGATGCAACGTCAAAATCCCGAGCAAGCAGTCCATGGCTAAGCGAGGGACACAGGTATCGTCCGTATGCCAATTAATATCAGTGTCTTTCCCCTCCTTTTCACCGGAACCAGGAAGTACAAATGTCAGTAGTAGCTGTGTTTGTTTTTCTTCTTTTATTTCAGACTAGACTAGTAAAGGGAAGATTTTTCATTAGCTTTGAGTGACCTTTTCTCCTGTTAGCAATAAGCATAGTCTTCTTTTCCGCTGATTTAGACGCATTTTTATCCGCTCTCCAGACAATTAATGGTTATTTTCCGTGAAGATTTTAGAACAGTTTACACGGAAATATTTATCGTGGTGATCTGTCAACCCGACATAACGGTCAGTTTTTACTGTACCTGCAACATTTAAAATCTACCCGATTTCAAAGATTTCTCGTGAAGCAACTTTCTTTGAAAATCGGGCCGGTTTTTCTTTTTTTGTTCCTATGTGTTTTCTGGAACATATATCGCAAAAATGTGCCGACAAATTGTATCTTGGCAACCAGCAATAAGCATATTCTTAAACCTTCGAAGACCAGTGGCATTGAAAAGTATTGTATCCTGTGTGCGAAAAATGTTCCTGTTCCGATCGAGCGGAGTTATTGCTCGTTTTCTCTCTTGTCCAACTTTCGCGTCAAACTCGCGAGGAAACGGTTGCTACGCAAGCTACTTGAATGTTGCCCAACTATACCATCAATGATCTCATGTATCATACATCCCTCTCGTGTATCACTGGTTTTCCCTAGATCTCCAAGCCCTAACGCCGGCGATTCACCTTCACGCGGACCTAGTCCCCTTTTTTCTCATGAGGGTACCGGCAGGGAATCTTCTTTGTCTACCCGTAAAGAGAAAGTATTGATCACGTGCGTCGGAATACTGTATTCTCCAATCATAATGCAGTCTGTGGAAGGACAAGCATGCCCTGATGCTACTCACTTCTTGATGGCGGGAACGCAGGTTTGTTATACAACAGTATACGCATATACGTAACATTTTCCAGTTTAGTGGCAGTCTGTGCTCTATTTTATTATAGTCACAACGCAGCCACAACGACGACGTCGAAGACAACGTCGCGGAACAATTGAATAATGTAAAGAGCAACTCCGCAAGTATAGTTAGCACTGTTTGCTACAAGCCAATGAGGAGTTGGTCCAACAAACAGGAAGATAGCCAATACATTGTGTTTGCTCGGGTAGCCAGTCAGAATAAAGAATTCGCTTCATCTTCGGGAACGTGTCAGACATTCGATTCAATAATAGGCTGATTTAGCAACAGAACGGGAACGTCAGTTGACAATGGGGCGCGCAAATCAAACAACTGGCTTGACCAATGGCTGAGTGGCAAATTGGGCACCAGAAGTCGAGTTTAGTCCTTTCCGCGCGCTTTCCCGTCGTCAAATGACGTTCCCGTTCTATTGCTAAATCATCCTAATAGGATTCATGGTGGCGAAAACAAGCTAATTTTTTTCCTCTTTTACGACTAAGATAACATGTGAGATCCTCAACATTTCTTTTGCGGGAAAACTTGTCGTTCTAAATTAACAATAAGACTAAAGTCTGTAAAAAGATGTACGTGTATGCTTTACTGTACAATATAATGTTTTTCAACCCTTTTCTCCTCAGGATGGAAGAGTTTTGTTTCTCCACATGTTTTGGAAAGGTCTAAAATATCATCAACTACAAGCTAATAAGGACGCTGTAAGTAATAAGTTAAAACTGTAACAACGGCACTGCTTATTACTACGGCAGAATAAATAAGGAAAATTATCTTTAGAACCTCTTTTTAATTTTGCTTTTAACATAATTTTAAAGAGACATCCCCCTCCCAATTTAATCGTGGTCGTCATCATCATCATCATCATCATCATCATCATCATCATCATCAACGTCGTCGTCGTCGTTGTCATGGTCATCATCATCATAGAATTAGGTCTCAAATTTTTCATCTCCATACTGGTCTACCAATTTCAAATCACGTTCCCTTTGTATTATTATTTATACTGTAGGTCCTCGAGCTGTACCACGATCAGGTTATGAACACCCTGGTTACAAAGTGCAGGCATCGACCCTAACAATAGGAATAAACCAGTAATGGTAAAAACGTCAACGAGTTTGCGCATCTAACACTGTCGGACTTGACATGCTTTACCAGAATGGTACGTATTTATTTAGACTATTTAATTTATGATCACGCGTCTGACCTACAGCATTATTTCACGTTTTCCTCTTAAAATAATAAGACAAGCTAAATTATCAATGCATATTGTTATTCACAATGTTTGAACTTGTTTTATCAAATTAGGAACGTCTCTATTCACAATTCCTGTTTTCTTTTTTAGAACAATCTTCTTTTATGTGGACATAAACGTGGATATTTACGTCTCCACTCTTTAGCCATGGACAATCAAGAACTTCATGGCATTGGAGGTATTACAGCATATTTTTGTGATGTAAACGTCGTAGATTGACCAAAGGTCTTTTTTTTACAGTTACAGCACCAGTGATTGTCTTTAGTCATGTGATTTGATTAGAATTTTCAAATCATTCAGTACCACTTTCTTTTAACTCTGTAAATGGTCCAACAAGTATTCTAACTGAACTTTACCTGTTTAAGATGAAAAGCCCACAGGCTCAAAGCGGTCACCCAAAGATCACCAGGGCGCTATTAACAGCGTGGACTCAAACTCCCAACTTGGAATATTCTGTAGTGCGAGGTAAGATTATAGGCTTGGTTAGAGAGACTGGGGTAAACTGCAGGATGGGAGCAGGGGGCAAAGTGGCCGAGTGGTCACCGCGTCGGACTTGAAATCTGGCGATTCCGGGTTCTGTCGAATCTGTCTCTGGCCACGTGCTAGGTCAGTTCTCGGTCGCCCCGAGTTCAAATCCTCGGTCATGCTTGTAAGTAGCCAGTTGGTTGCCTCCTGCCAGTTATGGCTGTTGATCCTGTTATATTATGTTTGAATTATTTGTTTTCAGTTATTTGAGTGGAATGCCTGTAAACTAGCTGGATAAGCTAAGTGCACTATCGATATCCGCTATACACAAACCTTTAAACACTATTAGGAAATTCATGGCGCCAGTTTTCCAGTTTTCAGCCAGTCGCGGAATTGTGGAAGGATCAGAGAGGTCAGATCGGACGCCTTGCAAAGGCACACGATTCAGTCGCTATAGTCAATCTTTGATCACATCTTGTCCACCCCCAGGTCTATGACGGCTTAAGTCAGGTAGTCTGGGGCCTACGAATAATGTCACGGGTTTTTAATATCCCCTTCCAATTGACGTCTGAGGGTGAAGGAGACTGAAGGCGAACGGCTTAACTCACCGTCCAATCACGCGATCATTTAAACTGAGAAAGGGTCCTAATCAGAGCTAGCTAAAGCATGCTGATCTAGAATGAATATTATAGCTTCCCTGTGTCCAAACTCGTTCCCAGGGCTCACCCCTACCCGGTCTTAAGGAGCAAGAAACACGGGTAAGTGATAGAACCTGGGAACGAGGTAGCCTAGCGTCCTCAGAAAAGCGGGTCGCTTTTGTTTAGTAGCGAAGTTATACTAAGCTACTCCTGTTTTTCTATTGCAGTCAAGACGGAGTTATCAAGATTTGGGACAAAGACAAAACTCTTCTTCGGGAAATACTTACGGGCGAAACGTTAACTGTCGCTTCTTTCCTTAACATTCAAGGTAGCACTTGTTTCTTTTGTTCAATCATTAATTCCTGAAGACTATGAACAGTCGTTATCTTTCTTTTAAAAGTTCTGTGGCCACGGTTAACCCATGCACGCTAGCGGCGAAGCTGTGAAGGGTGTCTCTTCCTAATCCTCGTTTGTAACTGCGTTGTTTGCAAACGCTCCGGTTGGAATAAGAACGCAACGGATTTTGAGAGAAAAAGCGGACTGCAAGCAGTCTAGTCTAATTGATGAAGACACCGGTTTTGGCGTTGCTTTGGACAAGGGAACTAATAGACAAGGACGCTCTCTGCTTATTTACTTGTTTTTTAGTTACAATCGTGAAGAAAGAAAGGTTGATAAGTTATTGTTTTTTTTAGGAGATATTCTGATCGGCTTCAAGCATCACATATTTGTGATTTCAAATGAAAAAGGTAAATGGCAAGAGCACCAACGATAGATGCAAATAGCTGAAAACATGATATAAGGGTTTATCAATGCCGGGACTTACTTTTCTCGTTTAAACTGCTCTCTGTTATATTAACTCATGATCGACCTACATGTAATTTCGTCCTTGTTGTGGCAAATTTTTTTTCTACTATAATTTTATCCTAAAGAAGAAGAAGGACTTGCTGTTTCCCATCTTTTGTATGTTGCTGGAAAGAGAATAACAGAAACCTGTCTTTTCAAAACTATCAAAGTAATCTTCTGGTATATTGGTGTATAAGCTTGTATACTGTGATTAACATGTGAACTTGAAATAACTCAACGGAAATTGTACAGCAAATAACGGAAAAAAATTCCGATCAAACTGCGTGGCACTTTAGAAAGTAAGTACGGGAATGTTCAACAAAAAAAAAAAAGAGAAAGAAAAATTATGAAAGAAAGTGCCGTGTTTTCCCTTACAACATTCCCTTACAATTGTACAACAAGCCGTTTTATTTGCCTTTTGCAGTGTACCCATTAAGAGATACGTTATCGTCTGACTTGAAAGCTGATTGCTTCGATGACGAAGCATTTGAAACAGGTAAATAAATAGTCTTTTAGAACTGGACGAGCGCATGCATCTGGTGTCTCTTCGAGGCCTTCTTATGTAACAAGCAAAGTGGAAAGCAGCATATATTTTTTTTATTTGAGTTAGTTCTTGTGGAGCTCAGTTTTTTAAGTTTGTGTGAGAAATCATCTTTTTTGTTTGGTTTTCGTTATCCGTGAGTTTGTGGTCTATAGGCTTTTGTCAGTCTCGAAGTACTAGGTTATTTTAGTTGTCTTAATTTGTTTCGTTTCGTTCTAGTTTCATTGTAAATAACATGGTCTCCGTCTTCATGCTTGTCATTTATGTTTCACAGAATCTGATATCTATGAAGATCCGTCAGTACGATTTGAAAGCAAGAAAATTCTTCAACCGGACCCCACTAACATGGAGAACTACTTGGTAGGAGCTAGATTCCTCACCTCAAATATTGACTTTCCGGATTCAGTCGTGTTTCTATTTTTGTTTCCTTCCCAAACCTAATCTTTACACCAGCAATCAGGTCCTAAGGATTTGATTACAGTTACAGTCGAACCTCTCCACAATGGCCACCTTGGGGACAGAAGAAAGTGACCGTTGTGGGGAGGTGCCCGTTACTGGGAGGTAGGGTTGTAATATGACAAGTTTTTTTTACGGAGTACAACATGTTTTACATGTCCTACGTTCATGCTTACCTCTTTCACTGCCAAATGTGGCCAAAGGCAAATTTCGACCAAATTTTCAAATTTCATTTTCTAAAATTTTGAGACACAAATAGCATCATGTGAAAGTACAGGCAGAGAGCTTTCATTTGAATGGTCACATCATAGGATTTCGTCTGCAGACTCAAAAGTTAGAGTCACCTTACAAAACTCCATCAAGTCTTCTGGCAGTGAAGGGGTTACTGTGTCGCATGATCAGCTATAATGTATAAAGATAAGATACATATTAACATTAGAACGCTCTGCTTACGAAATCGATTCTTATTCAGGTGCCGTTCCCAAACCTGCAATTGAAGACATCATGGTTCATGGAAGGGAGACCGCCTCCGGATCTGGAACAACAGAACCAACAAGATGAGGAAGAGGTACCGAACAAACAAACAAACAAACAAACAAACAAAACAAAATTAATTTGATGGGCTTCTAATCTCAGAATTGGTATATATGGTTTACGTGACTAGGGACCCGTTTCTTTAAAGGACCGGAAACGTTACGGGCCCGAAGGCAAATTTTGAAATCAAAACCTGTTGAATAGTAGCACATTTTCTAGCTCACAAAACGGTCAATTGTTCTTTTTTAACTAATACTTTTGTTGTATTATTTTCAAAATTATTGAAACTTTGTTCGTAAATGTAAACACAACAAACACAAAATAGCTTTCCAGACCCAAAACGGTACCGAGACTTTAAGGAAACGGCCCCCTGATCTTACTGTGTTCGAAACAGGATAACACAGTTTCAACATGCCCCTCCATTAGAATAGAACAGACAGAAAAGAACAGAGAACAGTGAACGAGGAACAGAGGAACAAGGGGAACAAGAGGAATTAGGTGAACCGGGGAATAGAGGGAAAAGGGTAACAGGGGAAAAAGGGGAACCGGGGAAACAAGGTGAAGAGGGGAAAGAGGAACAGGGAGAACAAAGGGGAACAAGAGACAAGGAAAACAAGGGGAACACGGTAACATAGGGAACCAAGGAAACAGGGGGAACAGGAGAACAAAGGGAACATGGGGAACCGGGGAACAGGTGGAACAAGGGGGTTAGGGGGAACAAGGAGAACAAGAAGAATAGGGGAAACAGGGGCAACAGGGGAAGAGGGGGAACAAGGAGAACAGGGGGAAGAGGGAACAAAACAGTGAATAGCCTGAGGATATTCCGAGTTACGGGAGCCAAGCAAAACGCGCGAAAATTTCTTGTCTCTGGTTTGGTAAATACTAATAATATTTAGCCAGTGGATAGCGCTATCCACCTTTTGAACAACTGAGGCCGGTCCTTTAATAATTTTACAACCATCGATTTCTATAAGTTCATAGTCTTTCGTATTCACCGTTTATCTCCATTTTAGTCAATATGTTTGATGCTGGGGGTCCTGTGCATCACCTACAGATAAATCCCTTAATTCTCCCTTACATGCTGCATTAGTAATCCTTTCGTTTCGTTTCCACTTTTTTTTCTTTTTAGTCAATCAGTTTTATGTCGGACAGTCTCTCGCTGGCTCCTACCGAAGTCTATTACTCCCCGTCCACCACCCCCAGGCGAACGTCATTGGTTAGTTCAGTGGCGATGTCTGAACGCAGAACCAGCACGGAACTGTGGGAACTGCCCGAATTTGGAGACTCGCCTGTATCTTCACCGCCAAGGACTCCACCTCCAGAACCAACACCACCCTCCACTCCTTCCCCAGTAAGTTTATAGTTATGCTCATTTTCTTTTCAAAACGTCCAATAGGAAAAGTTTGCACGATGACGTTAGTTGACTTCAACTGCGCTTACAAGGATCATTCAGGTTGTTGTTATCACGTGCAAATCAGGGGGGAGGGGCGCTGGTAAAACTCAGTGGGATAAATTTAAGTAATAATCCAGGTAAGACGGAAAGCAATTTCTTTTGTCATAGCGCAGTACGCTCTCCTCTCATAGGAATGTTTTCATTTTCACACAAAGAATGCATAAACCTAGAAAAACGCAGTTTTCAAAATGTATAAATTCCATTATTATTTTTTTTGTGTTTGTGTTAAAAGAGTTCGACCCATCATAGGAGTTGCAAACAGTAGCCGCGGAAAGTTTACAATTTTACGTATTCCTCACATAGGAATTCTGTTTTACTTGGGCTCAGACAAGATTTTGTTATAACGAAGTTGGCTAGCAATGTAAGGACTAATATTCAAGCTGCTTTGCGAAGATTTCGTAAAATTTGCTGTTTAAACCAATCAGAAGTATAGTAGAGACAATAGTAAAGATAGCACTTTTTTGCATTCCGACGTGTTCTTTGCGGTTGGTGCCGCTTTTCACGTTATCTGGACCACAACTTAAACAAGAAAGCATAAAAAAGGAAATGAATAGAAAGAGAAAGTGTGACGTCACGTTACCATGTTAGCGACAATTTTTCTTGACAGAGGCGGCCCTTTGCATTGTAGAGCGACGGAAGTAAATTATGTGCTATCGTATTGTTCCTGAGACTGTGTGCAGTTATGCACAGGAAAGTCGTACATGTTATTTTTTTCATTTTTCTCGTTTTTAGGAAGAGGAATCTGAGGAGGAGCCTGGTGAAGGTACTGTCACCTATATTGTTTTCCAAATTTCCCATGTGCTAAATGTATGGACAGCGCATTGTAGGCTAAGGGAGCTTACGTATATGGTATTGCAGAGGTCGCAATTGTGTGAAATGTCTATCTTTGGGGCCAGTTACTAGGAGTATCCGTCTGATAGGACTGTGTTTATTAATTCACTTATTCACAAACCTTGTTGGTAACATGAACAGCTTGACATGCCTGGAACTTTTTCCTTTTGAATTTAAATGCCTACCCTGCTTAAAGACGTCTCCTATTTTATTTGTTGAAATAAAGAAAATGGGAAAGGTCTCCAGGGTGGCAATTTGATGCCCTTCTTGTGTTGGACCTTGTTGTTTAAGGACAGTAAGTGCGACAGTTAGTTCAGGAGCCGTATAAACGAGGAAACGGAGACATCCTTAGACATTCAGCTCTGTTCCTTAGCCACTATGATCGAATTCTAACTGTTCAAACCTCTCTTAGGTGAAGAAAACGTTGAAGAAGAAGCGGAGCAAGACGAGGGCCCCTCTTGTGGTCAATGCGCCGATTTGTTACAAAAAGATGGGAAGAAAAAGGTGTCGATCGTTCCCAGCTTTCGAAAACCAGGGGGACGGATGGGTAATATATCGATCGATTCCAGATCCTTACGGTCGGCACATGGAGGTCCCGGATATGCCGCTCCTGTTGCTCGAAGAATGGTAGTGGAAAAACTGGAACCGAGAGCTGTTAAGGTTGGGGCTGAAAACTATTTAAAACTATTTGTAAAATATTTTAAAACAGCAACAACATTAACCCCACTTCCCCTTCAAAAAAGCAGTTTATTAAATCAAAACAGAAATTGTGCTTTGTACTGTTTGACAGTTGACAGTTGACAATCATTTGAATCGACAGTCTACTAATGTATTTCCATCTGCAAAATGGAAAGCAGTGGATTTTAGGGCTATAACGAGCACCACCTCAGATTTTTCAGCCAGCCATGATTGATTTCTGGGATTCAGTTTGTTTCCTGAATACGAGTACATGTTAGGATTTCCCCAGTCCCCCCACCCCCAACCCCTCTCCCAGAAAATAACAATACACAGCAGCAGCAGCAGCAGCAGCTAAATATTTATTATTATACTAGCAGCATTTTCTATTTTCGCAGCCGAGGCGAACACCGAGACCAGTGTTAAAGAAAACTAAAAAAACCAAGGAAAATCCCGAAGAAGAAAACACCAAAGAAGCAGAAAACAAAGAATACGATAAGTCACAAGTCGATCAGTTGACTGCAGGAGTCAAAGAGGAAGAACAAAACGAAGACGCTGTAAAAGATGTTGTAAACGAAGATGTTTCGCGCAGATCTCCGAATGTTGTAAACATGCCTTTAGCCGCGCAAAGGCCTCTCATTCAACAGGACACAGTCGATTCTCAGTCCGGCCCTGGAACTAGTTCTATACCTCATAAGCAGCAATCTCAGCAGTTAATACAAGATGACCAGAAAACGCCCGATAAAGAAAGTCCAAAAGGTTAATTGATTCGTGCTTTTGTATTTGTTGTTAAAAATGTCGATCTTGTTTGAATAGCTTCTACATCACGATAAGGATAAAGGCAATTTTACTCTCTTAGGGTAAAGTAAGAGGTTTTAATGTATGATATGTTTTATCTAAGATATGGAGGAAAACCTTGGAAACATCGGCTAAATATTTGACGATGGATGATTGCTGTCCTTACCATGATATGCGATGATCTTTCTTCAAATAATTCTTACCATGATAGTTGCACCATTCCAACGCAGGGGTGGCTTGGGTCCCCTTACTCAGCGCTCAGAATCATTTGTGCAAACCTTTTTTACGTTCTTCCTTGTCTAAAAATGTCGTACTTTATGTCGTTACTAGGCTTATGTTGTTTTATCGATCACTGGGTTTTAATACTTTTGAGGTGAATAATTTTTTCCTACGCAATGTAATGTCTGTTTGTGTCACTTTAGAAATACGAGGGATGGAGGAAAAACACGTGTATCCGGCATCTCAAAAATTGACCGATGGAAAGGAAGTGAAAACTCAGTCACTTGGGAAAGATTTCTCCAGAAAGGATATAGAGGAAAATCAAACAGAGACTAAAAATAGGCTGGAAGGGTACGAAAACGAAGAAGGCAGAGAGTCTCAACAGGTGCAGCGACAAGAGAAACCCCCAAAACGGGTGTCGGCTGAACCTAATGAAGCTCCGCTTATGACATATGTAGACCCCCATACTGGGGAGGTGTTAAAGAGGACTGAAAACGAAGTTCCAAATTCCACCGAGGTGCTCGAGCCGTATGACGAGTGCGGAGTCGATGACTTCGAAGACTCGCATGCAGAGGGTGGCTTAACTTCTTTCCGCAGCAAGAGAACAGATCGGGGAGAAAAAAGTGTAAGTTTTGCAGCTCCTGGGCTAGATCTTTTAAGACATCCACGCCGAAATCAGAGACAGTTACCTAATTATTATACTTCAGGGAGAGATTCACCGACCCTTAGATCGCCGAATAACTCAGGAATGGTGTTCAAAGAAACAGTTGTACCAATTTATGAAAGCAACAGACCGGGTGGTCTCTTCAGCAGAACTTCTAAAAACGCCAAGGGCGTGTCTCCGTTGACGATATTTGCGCTTGCCAGGAGCAGACGCGAAAACGCCGCTAAAGCGGCGATAGAACGAAGGCACTCAGCGGACGGACGATTGCGAAAGAAACAAGGAGGAACTGGAAATGCTAGTTTGAAAGGTGAAGACGGTAATGTAGATGACTTTGAGCTCAATGAAGATGACATTGCACGGCTTATGGATAAAATGGATTTACAATCACAGACTGATGACAGAGAGTCTGTTAGCTCCCTAAGGCCGCCAAGTGTTAGGAAAAGTGATAGCACATTAATGCGTTGGTGCATAGGTGCACTCAAGAAAAAAGAGCGGGAAATTATGTTTCCTCCAAAGCCGAGCCGACCGAGCAGTTCTCCAAGTGCCGTGAAAGGAAAATCGTTGAAGCAAGGAGCAGGTAGAATATGCCTTTTTCATGTCGTTGNCTAAAGCGGCGATAGAACGAAGGCACTCAGCGGACGGACGATTGCGAAAGAAACAAGGAGGAACTGGAAATGCTAGTTTGAAAGGTGAAGACGGTAATGTAGATGACTTTGAGCTCAATGAAGATGACATTGCACGGCTTATGGATAAAATGGATTTACAATCGCAGACTGATGACAGAGAGTCTGTTAGCTCCCTAAGGCCGCCAAGTGTTAGGAAAAGTGATAGCACATTAATGCGTTGGTGCATAGGTGCACTCAAGAAAAAAGAGCGGGAAATTATGTTTCCTCCAAAGCCAAGCCGACCGAGCAGTTCTCCAAGTGCCGTGAAAGGAAAATCGTTGAAGCAAGGAGCAGGTAGAATATGCCTTTTTCATGTCGTTGCCGAGTTTTTGTAGTTTGTTTGTTTTTTTTTTTAATTTTTGAAAGAAATAGTTTTATTTCCTAACACGTTCTTACTTTATGCTTTTTATTTTTATTTTTAATTTTACTTACAAACAGCGAAAGGATTAAAAGCTTTACCACAATGATTGCGCGATATATGTTTATAAATCCAAAAAACTATCAGACTCCTGTTTACTCGACTTCATGACACCAGAAAGAGATACAGCTCTTGAAAGGTTAAGTTTTTGGAACGGGAACCAAACAAGTTCCCTGACTTTTCGTTATGCAAGGAAAATGCATTAAGAACCGCTTAAGGCCCTATTAGTAACCTCTTTCGTTCGGACATTACGGGGAAATTTCAGACCTCGGTCTTAATGAGTAGTATGTATTGTTATTTTCCTATAATCCGATTGGTCAACTTCGTCTAAGTGGCCCCGTTTACAGTAGTCGCACTGTAAAAACCCATTGCATGTAAAACTAAAACGTCTTTTACACCGTCGGTTTATGATTCTATCATATTTTTTTTGTCCGCCTTTTAATGCTATTCTACGTGACAGGTTTTGAAAAACATAGAACGAATTTTCACGGGCCTTCGGATTTATGACATAATTCAAAAACGGGTGTTGCGAAAAAAAGGAAAAAAAAGTAAACTTTTTCCCGACCCGGGTTTTTACTTCCTTCATTTTGACATCAGGAGAAGGGTATACTGAAAACTGCAAAAATGTTTTTGTCTTTAAACCCGTCAGACCACACCCCTAAATCTTCTGATCTTGCCTAATTTATTCCTATTTAGCTTTTTCCAATTCCCCTTTTTTCTATCACAATGTTATCGCAATTAAGATTGTTTGTATGTCTTTTCTTATTATTTTTTTCTTCCTGTATCGCCATACCTGTGTTTTTAGATGCTTTCTTTTCCTTTTTTTTCTGCTATCAAAGATGACGCTCTTCATCGGAATACCCTAGAGTCTGAGAAAAGACCAAAAACCGCTGACACCATTCGAAGCAATGAATCGAGCAAGGAAGAATTTTCTGTGTTCCCTTACGAACGTAGCCCATCAACCAAACAAAAGTCAAAGCATACACCTGACCAAAAGGACGCTGCATCCGTCAAAGCAAGAACATGGAGACAGGTTTCTTCCGACGAGGATGGTAAGTACGAAGCCAGGAGCTTTTTATTTTGGTCCTCACATGTAAGATCCGACATCGGCGACGGCAGCGAGGTGTCAAAAAAACAGTAGATTTAATGAGCAAAACAAAACCTTAACATGTGCAGCAAGCTTTTTCTGTACATTTCTTTGCCGTTGCTGCACGACTACCACGTGAAAATGCCTATTTTCACGTTCTATGGATGACGTAAACAAACGACGACGAAAGTTTCTTTGTCTTTGTAAACTTGGATATGGTTCTTAGTAATTCAACTCCAGGGGAGCTTGCATACATTTAGAAAGGTAACTGGATTGGAATTATCGCCGCCGTCGCTGTCCGATTTGGGATAATGGAAAGCACAAGTTGAATTGTTGGGTTGAAAATTAGAAACCATCTGTTTAAACCCCTAGAAACCAACATATTTTGATACAAAACTATTTTTCAAAGTTTGCTATTTTGTTTGTTTACTTTTTTATTTGAAGAGGACTTTTTTGACGCTTACCGTGCCATGCGTTCTAGTGTTGGGCTTCAAGGATCGGACGAGGTTAGTAAAACCATCGAGTCAATTATTCAAACGAAGTCTAAAGGGGTAATTACATGAGACCGGGACGAACTCGGACCGGTATGAGTTGGTATCACGCTCCATACATTTCTTTTCATGCGTTTACATGGGACTGGCCTAAAACCGAACTCAGAGCGGTCTGACTTCGTGTCGGTCGCTGACCCGACACGAGCTTTTTTCGTACCGGTCCGAGACTGTACCGTTCTGATGTAAAACGGAATCTCAGACCGAGTCCATAAATAGCATGTTTCTTCTTATGGCTCCATCATCTTTGCTTTTTTTTAGTAAAATAAGGGGGTAATTACATGAGACCGCCTGTTTCCCAGGTGGGGCAATATATATCACTAGGGATATGTTTTTCCCTAGTGGGGGAACATATATCACTACGGATATGTGTTTCCCAGGTAGGGGAACATATATCACTAGGGATATGTGTTTCCCTAGTGGGGGAACACATATCGCTAGGGATATGTGTTTCCTAGGTAAGGGAACTCATATGACTAGGAATATGTGTTTCCCATGTAGGGGAACACATATCACTAGGGATATGTGTTTGCCAGGTGTGGTAACACTTATCACTAGGGATATGTGTTTCCCAGGTAAGGGAACATATATCGCTAGGGATATGTGTTTCCAGGGTAGGTCAACACATATCACTAGGGATAGTGTTTCCCGGGTAGGTACAGTGCTTCACAAAAAAGAACATGCAGGGCATGATTAAAACTATTTCTTTTTCTCTTTTTCTTTTTGAACTGATTTTATCATCCATTTTTTTCGCTTTTTTCCAATAATTTACTGGCGGCAAAAACCTTCATTTATCTGTTGATAGCGCCGGTTGCCGGCGCATTTTGACAACCTTGGTGTACGCCATATGCCATCATTAAACTGTTCAAGATAAATGGTGTTTACATGAAAGCGTTCGGGAAACTGAAAATGGCTGAGAGCGTGGTTTTGTTAAACACTGGCTAAACTCCGTTTAAATAACTGGCCTATTATGTTACCCCTGCGGCCATCCGCAGGTTCCCCTTTGGGTTTTGATCCTTCTGTGCCCTCAATGGGGTCCGATAAATTTAAGTTTCACTGTATGGAGATAAGGTGATGATAACCGTGGACCCTGTTATAGGTTTCGATTGACGCATGAATTTATCCGAAGCTTAGTTTTATTTATTTATTTATTTTTTTTTTTTTTCATCGCAGGACTATCTAAAGAGCCTTGTTTCGAAAAGCTACTCCGAAAATGAGAGGTACATTCTAATTCTTATAAATTTCTATGCTAAATCGCCTGAGCTAATGTTGTGTGTACAAACACAAAACAAGGTTGCGTCCCAAGCTAACGAACCGATATTAAACAAGCGACTTCATCATTAGCCTGCGACCGCAAACGTATTTCCGAAAAATTCGGACGGAGAGCAGTGACGACCGGAAATACGTCTGTGGTCGCAAGCTACTTCATCATCAGCTTTGGAACCCCTTAACGGTCTTCGTGAGGTACTTGTGCCCTTGTCCCTTCTTCTCACCACTATCCGTAAGCACGATAAAAAAGTGAAGCCATGAGAAGTAGTTGGTTTCTTAATACATTTAGGCGTTAATGTTGCGTTTAGTAGTACCTCATGACTTCCTTTGCCGATGCAGTTGTCCCTTTCGTAAACGGTCGCTGCCATTTTTAAGACACTTAGAAAATTTTTGACCTGTTATTGAGAGCGTTTCTATTAAAAAGAAAGAAAATCGCAACCCAGGGTCGAACCCGGACCTTTCGTATCCTAATCTCTCTCCCTTACCACTACAGTACCACAACAACCGCCAAAGGTGCGAAAAATTCTAGCACATAAAATAGCAAACTGTCTTTCTTAACTGTTACATGAATAACAGGTGACCCTAGCCCTTTTCGAAACTTATAACGTAAATTCAACTTGGACTTCAACGTCGTTCTTTCCAATTTATTGTGACTTAATCCAGGGATTATGTTACATCTATTATGACTAACGGCCTGGTTACCAATGGTGGCTTCGACCGTTCAAAATGGAAATGAGCGTTAACGAAAGGGAAATGGCTTCGGCGATGCGTTATCTGCCGTGGTTGTGAAATGCTCTGCTAGCCGTAATGGTTTTTTATTTTATTTTTTTTTTTTCAGGGTAACAGACACACGAGAAATTCCCACAGTGGAAACAAGCGACTACAGTGGAAACTGGCAAAGCAAGGCACTAGAGAGGTGAGCTTAATTTCACAGTGTTAAGTGGAAAGAGTCGATGACTGCCAACAACTGTTTTTCTGCTGCTCCTGTTTAGGGCTATTCGGTTAAAGAAACAACGCCTGGAACGTCAGAAAACTGCTACAGAACGAAGACAAGCGCTTGAAAGCAAACAAAAAGAAAAATGGAAAGTCTCACACCACTCGGAGTGTTCGCAAGGTCAGAGTCATTCATTCATTCATTATTCATTCATAGTTTATTTGATAAAGCAGGTTAAGTTAAAAGGCAGCTAAAGCTGATATGGACCTGCTGATAAACGATCTATTGATGATATACGAATAAAATAAAAAAAATATACAGAAAGTAGGTATATAAAAAGAATAAATATACGGTGGTAAGATAAAAGACTAAAAGTTATGAACAATTAAAATACTGTTTCTTCTTAATAAAATTTATCGAACAAGGGTCTGTTTTTCTTAAGAAGCTTTTTAAAAATGTTAGACTTGGTGCTCTTTTTAAATTATCTGGAATGGAGTTCCAGAACAAGGCTCCCCGATATCTTAATGACTTCCTGCCCACCCCTAGGTTAAAGCGGGGAACCTCAAACTTAATGCTGTTGCGTAGATCATAATAGCAATTGCTACTACTAAAAAGCCTAATTATGTTATCTGGTAGCTCCTAGAGTGACCAACATCAATTTTCTCCCATCAATTTCCTTAAATCATCAAGAGTAAAGGTTATAAGAATTGATGAAGTGATCACCAAGGTGAACATTCTTTGATCTTCTATCAAATTCTGTCGGCTAATTCCTTAAGAAAATGTGTGGAGAAAAGTCCGGAGAATTTGTCTGTGGTTAGTGGGACTTGAAAGGTTAAGGCTATCTCACAAGGTTACTGCCGTTTTAGGTAAATTCGGTACTTAAGTTATAAATAAGCTACTTTAAACAGACACGAAATGCTCCCGTAAAGGTATAGACTGCAAAACAGTCGGTTTTTTTCTTAAAATCAGTAAGGAAATCGGTAAAGCGTGGCGTAGGAGTCGTACGCGCGCGAAGCGCGCAAGCCTCGTTCCAGACCTTCTGTTTGACAGCTCGCGCGTACTTGAACACGCAAAAATTCGGACTGTTTTGCAGTCTAGTAAAGGTGTGAAGAAGATATCATGAAGATAGCACTTACTATATAATATTTTTTTTTGGTGAATTACGTACGTATACGTATGCGCTGTCATTAAAACTTGAAAAAACAACAAACAATAAAATGATAACAAAAACAACACAAACAAAAAAAAAACTGTCCTAGTTTTTACAAGTTTCATTTCAAGTCCATCCCAGCCATCTGTCATAGCAGACAACAGGAAACAGTTTCAAAGCCTTGATATAGACTTAAATAACTCAGCTGTTGTCATTATTTTTTGAACGAGTTCTAATGCTCGAAGACACGTTTTAGTAAATATAGTAAATAATGCAATATTGAATAACAGCCTTGACGCACTAAAGATATAATTGTCGGGCTAGGGGTGTGATGAAGACAGTACATGAACGCGCGAAAGTAAGATCCGGCTTTTAACTCCGACTCGACAACATGCTTGGTAGTCTGAAATTTCAGCCATCTCCACCCACTAATCCGTGGGGGGCGCAGGGGCGAGAGGTGGCTTAGGGGGGTGGAGACGGTTGACATTTTAGTCGACCTGCTCGGAGGAGGGCCGAGATTAAGATGCAGTTATATGCGCTGAACATCTTAGTTTACTCTTGATGTTCATTTTCTGAGTTGTTTTCAACCAAAAGTAAACAAATCTCCCACGTCTTTCTTTCCAGACACGTTATCTAAACCTGACAGCGTGATCGAATTCATCACACCACCCCCTGCTGCCACAACACGCACTGCCTCACCCCTCCCCCAGCGGGATCAGCCTCAAACGCGACTTATAAAAGAACAAGAGTTGACAAACGAACAGCCTTATCGTCTCAGACTGAACCCTCCATCAGGTGGCCTGGGGATGACTCCACTTGCTCGAAATATTAAAACGTTAAAATCAGGTGAACATCACGTGTCTGATATTGCTAATGTCTTGCCCAAGCCTCCTCCGTCAGCCTCGATCCCGAGCAAATGCAGGTATGTGTTTCCCAACCTCGTGTTCAGGGCTTGAGAGTGTTTCCCGATCGTTAAACCTACAGCCATCACCAGCGCAACTGCGTTTAAACGATACATAAAAGCAGGGTTCTCAAGAAAATATGAAAAGTTTAACTGTGGCTGGATTAGCTCGTTTGGTGGAGCGCTTGACTGCAGAGCGGTAGGTCGCGGGTTAAATTCCCGGGACTGAACCAACACTCAGGGTCTTAAAATGGCTGAGAAATGATGGTACTGGCTTTGCCCTGCAAATGACTAGACCTTCGCGCGGCTCGGTCGCGGTTCCGTCTCCTACAGGAGACTTAAAAATAGTGTCCCCAGTTAGTGCTTTCGTGCTAAATTCATTAAAACTCAAATAAAGTGCTTTTTTTAAAAGTAGATAATATGGTCGGCAATAGAGGAGAGTCGAGCGGAGTACCTTTTAAACGTCGCAGCAGCTGCGTGTGGGGGCAGGTATGGAAAAGTCCTCCCCCCCCCCTCCCTTAAGCCTTTTAACAGGAACAGCTGCGTATGGAGGCAGGCATGGAAAGCTTTGCCCCCCCCCCCCCCCCCCCCCCCCCCCCCCC